AAATATATATATTTAAAAAATATATATAAAAAAATATATATATTTAAAAAAAACGAACGACTGAAAATTATAGACCGGAAGAGATTCCCCGTGTCGAACGACCGAGTCTTGGACACTCGCCGATCTTAACCATGCCAACGTCTTCATCGCCAGGAGAAGTCTTTCTTGTCGAGGAAGATAAAACATCTGTATACTCCCTAAGACAGTTGAAACGTACGACAAATCCCACATCTTCTTACGAATGTTAAAACACTAACAAGTATGCTGATCGTGCAAATTTTCAAATGAAAAAGAAAAAAAAGAAAAAAATTTTCTTTCAGAAATGTCGAAATTGAAACGACTGGCGTTGTTTCACAAGTTGGTAGAGCACGTGTGGAACTTTTATAACTATATGTGGTTGTTCCTCGAAATTCACATGCAGAAGATCATTTTCGTTTCCGTGATGATTTTCTGTGTAAACGACGTGAGTTTGAATGAAGTATATATTCAATTGATCGGCATCGAAACGTTCAATTTGTCTAAACGATACGGTCTTTCAGGTCTGTGCTATTAATTTCGTATTCGTCTTGATAACAGTTATCATAATCAATTCTCAGCGAAACGTTCAAATATGCACGGCGAACACAATCGCCGCTGTAATTGCTCTCCTGATGGTCGTGAAAATGCTGTATCAAATACAGTATATCGATCACAACAATTGGAACGTTAATTGCACGGTAATACATATAATACATATAACTTTTTATATGTACCTTTTAAATTGAATAAATTAATACACGATTTCTCGCTCCCATTTTCTAAAGTTTTCTCACTTGCCATTTGCAGAGAGTCTCGCCTGAAAATCAGACCCAGTATGGCAGCAATAACACGATGTACAACATCGCAGAGTGGTTTGGAATAAAGAAAGCAGAGCCAGGACAATTGGCAGAGTTACTGAAAGGTTACATAGGGATCCTGGTGGTCACCACCTTTAGAAAAATCATCAGAATTCGACAGTGTTTCCATAGGAAAGTACACGGTGAACCTTTGGACACTCCTCAGATCATGTTCCCTTCGATCACCAGAAAAGATGCGGACAAAGGCGTGCCACAGTGCTTGAAATTCCTCTTCAACTACGGTTTCTATAAGTTTGGCGTGGAAGTATGCTTGATAGGAATCGTGGCACTCATTGGAACCAGATTGGATTTCTATTCGGTCCTTTATAGCATGTGGCTTCTGCTGTTCTTCTCTTTGAAGAGGAAAACTGTATCGAAAATTTGGCCCTTCTTCAAGATCTTTGCTATAATCTTGATACCTGTCCAGTACTCTTTCGTCGTGGCTCCCCCAACTTGGTTCTGCATAGGTTGTTAAATATTTGCAGCATTAACGTTCGAAGCAATATTTATCTATGAGAAGAGAGGCTAACTTGATCATTGTTCTTCTCAGAGTATCCGTGGAGCGAATCGAAAACTTTGAGGGGATTGCAAGAGTGGATGTACTTGCCTGATCCTGACTTCCCACCAAATGCCAGGAAATTAATGTGTAAGGCTTGTAATCGAATTATTTGGGCGCCAATACTGGGCTACGAATGTTCATCAAACAGTCGAATCGAGTCAGAGATTAATAATTTGAATTGTAAAATAAATAACAGTGCTTAAATTTTTCCACAAATCCACGAACGTCTAGCTCGATTAATTTCACGATAAGCAACGATACTATCCAGCTGAATTTTAATCCAGGTGATTTCATTCTGCTGATGATGATCGTCAGACAAAGTCTCGTTTTCCAAATCGAAGAACGGAGCACGGCGAGAGGCAGAGAATTTCCAGCTGGTCACAATTATTCCGTCTATCAGAACATGGAGAAGCCAAACTTCGTGAACCCCGTGAAGGATTACGTGTCCCATATTCACTCTTGGCTGGACATAGTGAAACGAGGCGTATTAATAAGTCTCATGTGGGTCACTTTGTCGATCATGTTTCTCGCTGGGACAGAGAGAACCAATCTGTTCTCGTTGGGCTACTTGATCGGCGCGTTCGTGTTTCTCTGGCAAGGAAGCGATTTTTACTTGAGACCAGTGAAGACGATCTTGAGATGGTGGAATCTTCTTATCGGTTACAACGTGATTGTCATTTTCTCCAAAGCTTTGCTCCAGGGTGTAGGTTGCGTGCTGATAGATCAGGTAACCTTTCGTTTATTCGTTAGTTTCATTAGGAATTTTGAACATTTGATGACTGGAATTACATCGACAAATAAAATACAAAATTTCTAGAAATCGAAACAAAATGTAGAATGAATTTTTATTCACACATTTTTGGGGGGAGAGGGGGGGGGGGGATGTTGTAGACTTGTAAAATTTTTAAGGAATCTATAAAACGGATAAAGGAAATTTCATAATTTACATGGTCATATTACAAATCCATAAAATTTCTCAATTTTATTTTACTCAATTTGATAGTTCTAATCTTGCGTGTATAAAAACATACGGATTACATGTCAACATCAGAACTCTAACGAATAAAATGTCGAATTTCAGCTGCAAATGCTAACGTGTCCACTGATTCAGCTATTCGGTATAACTTGCCTGAGGAAATTCCGAAGCGCGGTGGGTGACATAACTCTGGAAAAATTTGACTGCGAGGTGCCGCGGGAAGATATCGGCATGGTCTGGGACGGTCTGTGCTTTGGCTTCCTGTTATTCCAGAAACGACTGTTCAAGAGCTACTACTTCTTCCACATAGTGGACGAAACGAAAGCCATGAGTATCTTAGCATCGAGAGGCGCGGAGTTATTGGAGGAACTGCATCAGAAACGCATCGAGGTCCAGGAGAGTGTCGAGAAGAACGTACTGCAGAAGCTGAAATTCAAGATGGACAAGATCAAAGCTAACCAGAGGAAGATACAAGGACCTAGCTACAGAGAACCGCAGATTCACGCAGTCGGTAAGTCGTTTCTAATTATTTCTGTTTCTTTTTTTTTCTTCTTCTTCTTGTTGTTTCTGAAATGTAGGACGATCGGATTAAGAGGGCGAAAAATGACATCAACGATGGTTCCACTATTCTATTCTGTTCTTTTGCTTCATCTTAATAACTTACGTGTATTCTGTACGAATTAACAGGAAGAGTACTTCCACATTGCTAACCTACGTACACTTTAGAATATTTAACAAAAGATTTAATCTTTAATGTTTTTCGCGTATTTAACACAGAGAAGTCTAAGTATGTCCAAACGTCAACATAGGATTCTACTTTCTCAATCCTTTCATCCGTATCCCATAGTCCAGATCTAAACTTCAACGAAGTATTCTTCCATTCTACTCGTGCGTATCCTACACTAATTACGATTTAAAGCTGAACGTAGGTACGTCTTTTCAGAGAAGAGACTATTCGCAGGCTAACGTCTTTGTGTTTGATTCTTTATATCTGATGCACGCGAAAAAGAAGGGGCGGCGCCTTTGGCGAGGTCCTCCAGCGAGAGCTCGTGCGTCTCTTCCGGTCACACCCCTCCTCAGGGTTATCAGACGCCGATCGACGAGGACGAGGACAAGCCACCCCCGTTGACGCCGCGAGCTGCGTCTCTATTGCAGGCGCCCACGCCGAATTCCGCCGTGATGACAGTGAGCCTCGAGGGTTACCTCGAACCGACTCGTATTTCTTTCGGTTCCCCGCCGAGTAGCGAGTTGAATCCACGTGGACCGTCGCCCGACGAAACCTTCCCAGTGTTCTCCCCGCCGCCGTACGACAGAGGGCCACGCGACCGATCGTTGACCTCGTCGATCAGACATCGTCGACAGTCGAGCTTCGTCGGGCCACCGTGGATGAACGGATTACAAACACCGAGACAGTCCATCGTCTCGATCACGTCTCGCTCCCCGCGATCTCATCACACATGTAACGACACAAGAATCGGGAACAAGATCATTGTCGTCGATCTGCTACGATGTCCTGTACATACGCTTCCGTGACAGCACCACTAGATCATTCACGAAGCACCACGATGTTTCTTTCGTTTCCGTTACTTTCGATGGTTCCCGAGGATTTTCATCAAGGGTACCTTCCCGTTTCGATCCGCTTGATTTTTCTATCGAGTCAAAGTTTCCCTGGTTCTTTTCTTTTTCTTTTTTTGGTAGATCTTCTTTGAAT